GTCTGACAAATGTGCCTAGAGAACTCTTCTTGCCTTATTGGTGGCCATGTCTAAGTAGTCCTTATCATGGAGGGCCATTTGGCCTTCATCTCACATTCACAGAGTGTCTCCAGTGTAAAATATGCCACGTTTTTTGAATGCGCTGTGTGGGCATTTCTTCATTTTTCAATGTTCTGAGAAGCCTCAAAAATGGAAGTAGCCTCTCAACCTTGGAGCAGTCCTGTGTGTAAATATTCATCTAGGGGAGAAAAAAGAGCAGCTTTTTCTAAGGGAAGTTTGGATTGGCATTTTAGAGATCCAGATTGTGATCCTCAATGCAACTGAAACTCACAGGGTGACTCTGGGCAGTCACTCCTTCACAATCTGGTTTACCTCACATACTGACTGTAAGAAGAAAGTGCAGGTGAGGACAGGCATATATGCCACCCTCAATTCATTGGAGGAAAAAGAAAATGCAAATAAATAAAGAAATTGAATTGTGCATTGTGAAGATTTATGTTCATATCACAGATGCAGAAAGTGCACTGCCTATCCGATTTTATTTTCTCAGGTGAGAATGCACTTCAGTTCTGACACATTCAATCCACATTTTGAACTGTTGGTCATGGGAAGCAAATGACGAGTTTTGCTACTCAGGCTTTGCAAGGAGTTGAAATAAATTAGAAACAGACTTCGTTGGATTTAGAGTAAACTCTTTGGAAGGGATACTATGCAAATCCCATTGATTTCATTGAGCACTTCAAAGTCTGGATCCAACTCAATGATTCATTCACAGTCAATAAAACATATAATTTGGAAGAAGGCAGAAATATTTAGATGCCTAAGGAATTAGATTTTGTTGTTTAGTCATTAAATCGTGTCTGATTCTTTGTGACCCCATGGAATTAGATTAATTGATTACAAATATATTTTCCCAAATGAAATGTTTCCCTTGACCCAATAGCCACATATATCTTTTTAAAAATGTGTTATTAAAATACGTTATTAAAAGTTCTGAAAGGAGTATTGACAAAAATCTGAAACAAGGAAATGGCAGTGACAAAAATTTCTGTACAAAGGCTTTCAGAATTTCTCCCCCCCCCCCCCCCCCGGTTATTTTAGAAGATGCATTTTCCGAAGATCATGCCTATTGCAACATATGCATGTGTTGGACTGTAATTGCTTCAACCCCAGTCAGCAAATGAGGGATGATGGAAGCTGTCATCCAAAATGACTAGAGGGCACAGACCAGGGAAGCCTGAATATAAATGTATCTAAGTATTACCTTATAAAGAATACTCCCTATATGCATATATAAGTGCATGCAAATACAATTGATTAATGACTAAATTGCCAATACAGCCCCACCCACCCCCATGATTTACCTTGCTTTCTTTTCAAAATTAAGTAACATTCTTTTTAGGAGAGAGTAAATCAAAAAAATAATTGTGCCTATCTTCTTTTTTTCGACCATTTCACTTTTGAAGAATTTTTGTAATCACATAAATTTTATATCTGAATGCACCGTTCTTTCCAAGCTTTTTTGCTTGGTATATGTGTGTATGTCTATATATATATATATAGTACACACACACACATACTTAGGAGACAAAGTAGGAAAAAATTATGCATTCAGATAATACTGCCAGTCTAATATTAAGCCCAGAAAATCAAGGAAAATAGGTGTTCACGTCTAAACATTTAACTCCATCTTCACCCTTGGGCTTTTTCCTCTGCTAAGTGACATACCAGATGTGCAAAGGCAATTAACCACACAAACATGTCCCTGGGTGAGTTAAGGACAGGGCTGGAGGCTTTAGGTGACCAGGAGACAGCAGGAATATATATATACAGTCTTGACCCCTTATGAGAAATAGGAGAGAGACGATTTTTCATCTTGAATTCTCTACGTGGATACACAAACAGCTTAAACTGGGGGCAGTCCTCAAAAGCCATTTTCCCCGCTGGTCCTCACAATCTCCTCTCAATTCTAAGCCAGTTTTCTTATCTAGGACCCTCAACCAGACAATCACATCTGCTACCATCCCCAAGGTACCACAAGACGTTCTCTCTCCCTCTCCTCCCTCCTTAAATAGACATTTCTTCTGCAACAAATTTTACTCTCCTCAGAGCTGCCTTTTCAGGAAAAAAATGAAGCCACATGAGGCCACCGCTCGTGTTTTCTTTTTTCTTTGAAAGAGTGCAGTCGTAAACATTCCTATGTACAGGGGAAAAAAACACACGAACGACTGAAGTTGTCTCCCTGCGAAAGAATTTTGGCCAGGAGAAAAGAATCGAGGTTTCGTAACAGTATGGACGTTCCCGGAAAAAAAAAAGTGGCGGGGGTGGGGGCAAGAGAGAGAAAAAGAAACGTAAACACTCGGTGCTGTCCGCTTTCGGCAACTGGTGTAGTAGTAGTAGTAAAACTCATCTATCTGCGGCACTCCAGGATCACAGTGCAAAGTGAGCCACCACCTGAAAACAACAAGGCAGAGAAGCCTGCCTGCCTGCCTGCCTGCCTGCACGGTTTTAAACCACAGGCTCCAAACAAACTTTAATTTAATATTCCAACTATGCAGCTGGAGTCCTGTGGCCATGTGTCAGCGGTTGGAGGAGAGAGATCATCCACGCTACCTGTCTCCGTGGCGATTGAGAATGGCCTTATCCTCTCCGGGTGTCAGCGAAGAGAAATGTAGGAAAGAGGACACAACTTTTTGAGTTTGTTGGTGGATTACGACCCTCATCAGACCCTGCCTCCTCGGAAAGCATGTAAACAACGCCACCTTCAGCCCCACGGCTCCTTGTAGCGTCAATCTGTCACCTCCTCCCAACTTCAGGCGGGGGTGGGGAAAGGCGACCACCCCTTCTTTTATCACCCTGAAGGGATCGCCAAAAAGTTCTCTTTCTTCTGATCAGCGACTCAGATGACCCAGATCAAAGCCGTCGGTAATTATCTTTGATGCGAGCTCGTTCCTTACCCAAGCCTGTTGCGGTCCTGGGCAATTCTTAAGTTTGAACGAGATTTATTAGGTTAGATTTTTCTAACTGAGTTGCGTTCCCTCCCTAGTCACCACCCCCCACCCCACCCCAGGCAGGGTTCAAAGAGGAGCAGCAAAAGTCCATTTCTAAAGCGAGGGAGGGGGGAAATGGTTACTGCTCCTGCTAGAGACCAGGTTACGTGAGGCGAAAGCGTCCCTTCCAGGGACTGCGCAATGTTGAGGGCTACGTCGGAGGCGATCCGCCTGGGGCATCCCTGAAGGCTGCCTGGAGTCTTGGCAGCTTCGGCGAGGCCACGACCAGGCGAGCCCAAGATCTGGGATGCCTCGGGCGGGAACAAGGTGCGTGGGATTTTCTCTTTCCTTTCTCCCGATCCATCAGAGGCTCGATATGTATTTATTTTCGCTGAGGGAGGGAGAGAGAGAGAGAGCGGGAACTCGAGACTTCAGACTCCCCTCAGGCCGTCCCTTGTGGCGGGGAGGGAGGCGCTATTCCCACACGGGAGGGGTCAGCTGGCCAATGAGAAAGCGCCATGGGGACCGTTGCTGCAGACGGGCAAGCGCTAGGGCCAGTAGGCAGGGGGAGGTGGGGTTTTGCCGAGGGGACCCGCGGCCAACGCCGGTAGCTCGTGTCATTCCCGGTCGGGTAAGGCGACAGGAACGGCAGAGACAGGAGGCGGCGGCGGCGGCGGCGGCGGCAAGGGCAGGTACCCGGCAGCCCCGAGAAGGGACTCACCGGTTGGGGCGGTTGGGGGGGGGAAGAGGTTTCCGGATTCGCCAAGGGAAAGAGGCGCGCTTTCTCGACCCCTGGAAGGGAGGAGAGGCTCCTTGGTGAGGGTGAGACCTCCAGCCCTGCCTCGCTCTGCTTAAGGGGGCGCCTCAGCCTCGCTGGCGCCCCCCCTTTATCTCCCCTTTCCCGCCTCCCGTCCCTTTAAAGAGGCCTCCCCCCCCCCCCCCCCCCCAAGACCCCCC